CGTGCGGTGCAGGTCGCTTTCTGTCTTTGGATGCCGATCCAGACGGTTGAGCTTGGCTCTGCCTCTGGTTTTTGGAAATGTTCTGTCTGTGCTAGAGTTAGTCGTCTGCCGACCCACGGTCCCCCGCCTCCCCCTTCTCGTTGTGCTCTTGTCCGTGGGCTTGAACCGAGGGCCTTGGAGGCGCGGGGACACAGGTGCGTGACACTCGAGTGTTCAGACAACGCTGCACTGGTCATTTCCACAAAGTGTTTTTCTTATTCCTCGCACGGCAGGATTTCTGGTCTTGCTCAGTCTTGTGCTGCTCCGACGCGATCTAAGCGTTATAATAATTGGCACCCGATTTGCAGAGGCCGCCACCCGAAGCGACCAGGTGTTGCGGTTGAAAGCGGACCTTGGGCGCAATTGGGGGGTGGCCGAACTGCCACCCAAGGGACCGCCCACAGGCCTCTCCCCTCTCCTCCTCCTCCTTCCTTGGGCGGGGGGGACGGGGCGGAGTCGGGCGTGGGCGGGGGGAATCACGCTGCCTCCTCCGCGGGGCGCCAGTTTGCCGCGTCAGCGGGAGGTGTTGAATTTTGGGCCGCCGAGGAGGAGGCTGCCAACATTTTGTTTGCAGAGGCTCCTCGCGCTGCGTCGAGAGGAGTCGCCTCCCCTCGTCTGCAGACAGGTGCCGGAGCGGAGTCCTCATTCGTTTCGAGGATTCCACATCGTGACGGGAACGACTCCAGTTCCGACTAACGCCTGGGGGAGAGGCAGCTGGCCACGGGGAATCCTCCAGCTAGCTGGCGATGTCCATGTGGCCTCCTGCTTGTCCTCTTCTGTCAGGTGTTAGCTTTATTTTGCTGGCACATGCCAGCCAGCCTGCCCGAAATGTCTGGGCAAGGCGCTCTCCCTTGATGCTGATGTCAAAAATCCTCCTCCTCCTCCTCCTCCTCCTCCTCCTCCTCCTCCTCCTCCTCCTCCTCCTCCTGCTCCTCCCCCCTCCTCCTCCTCCTCTTCCTCCTCCTCCTCCTCCTCCTCCTCCTCCTCCTCCTCCTCCTCCTCCTCCTCCCCCTCCTCCTCCCCCCCTCCTCCTCCTCCTCCCCTCCTCCTCCCTCCTCCTCCTCCTCCTCCTCCTCCTCCTCCTCCTCCTCCTCCTCCTCCTCCGCCTCCTCTCCTCCTCCTCCTCCTCCTCTCCTCCCCCTCCTCCTCCTCCTCCTCCTCCTCCTCCTTTCTCCTCCTCCTCCCTCCTCCTCCTCCTTCTCCTCCTCCTCTCCTCCTCCTCCTCCTCCTCCTCCTCTCCTCCTCCTCCTCCTCCTCCTCCTCCTCCTCCTCCTCCTCCCCCCCTCCTCCTCCTCCCCCAGGACCCCCGTAAGGGGAACCGGTTAGTAGTAGGGCCTTGGAGCACCTAAATTGGCCAGAGTCACTAACCCAGGTCTGCCGTAGCTGGTGTTTCTAACGGGTGACGGCAGCTCCGGCTAGTGGACAGGGGGCCACATGCGAACCCTACCCCTGCCCCCCACGACTTCGCATGTGGCCCCCTAGTGGAACGGGGCGAGGGGGGCGTCCCCCCGTACAAATTACCAAACCAGGTACTACTAGACCTGGTTCTACCAACGCCCGATCTGGGCCCTGCACGGGCCCCTGGATCGTCGGCCGACGCTTGGTGGAGTTCGGATGCAGCTACTGGGATCAGCCGCGCGCACAAGGGGGGTGGGGGGAGGGGGGGGGGCTTCTTAGAAGCACCCCTGCTTCTTAGGAGGCGCGGGGCCTCATCTATAGACGTTGCAGCGCCTTCTAGGAAGCAGGGTGCTTCTACGAAGCCCGCCCCCCCCCCCCACCCCCTTTGTGCGCGCCGCCACATCTCAAGCAGTGGCGAAGCGTCCTGGCTCGCCTGCAGGCCCACCAGAGAATGTTCTAATAACCTTTCTTGTGGTCTGCACGAGATGTGTACTTGGAAAATTTCTGGCCGAGACCGTCTCGTTTTCACACATCGGGTCTATGTTCTAAGATTTTTTTGGTTTTCTAACATGTTGGGGTTCTAGGACATCTCGTGGCCTAAAGGAATGCCAGGACGGTCGGTCACTGCTCAAGCATCGTTGAACCGATCCCCACGGCCACTGGACCATGGTATCTCAGCGCCCCGCCAGCCCACCCTCACAGGTGCGGACTGGTCGAAGAAGAAGAAGACGCGCCATAAACATGAAAACATTCGGAGTTCCGCGCAGATTTCTTGGGTTGGCGCTGGGCACCCCTGGTGGCGCCTCCGGCGCCGCCATTTGCGCGCTCCGCGCGCCAGGGAGGGGGTCCAGCGCAGGTCCAGGAAATTCGCGCGGACCGTTGACGTCGAACGTTTCTGTTTGTTCTTCTAGTAGGCCCCGCGAAACCTGGAAGAAGAGGCATCTATGATCCTGGGTTCCGGGTTCACAGATGGGATGGGCCCCAGGGTTCCACAGCTCCCTACCCACCCGGTTGGGGGGGCGACGACGACGCTGGCGCCGCCGACGACGACGACGACGACGACGACGACGACGGCGACGCCGACGACGACAACCTCGCGCTCCCTCAAGTACCCTCACTGAGCGCATTCCACTACTCGCAGATTGGCTACTCGCAAAGGTCCGAAGAACATGTGTGTGTGTGAGTTGCCTCGACGTAACTTATCGTAGATGCCCCGCGGCGGATCCAGGCCGTTTGCGAATAGCTACTCCGCGAGTAGTGGAACGCCTCTTTTCAGGAGGGGAGAAAACACACAGACACAATGAATCGTCGATTCCCAGGAAAATATGAAAAACTATGGGAGGTGGGGGGGAAGACGAAGACTCAAAAAATATGTGAAAATATTGGGAATCCTGTGATTTGTGTGTGTGTGTGTGCTCATTTGTGTGTCCTTGGGCCCCTTCATCTTTCTGAATCCACAGGGCCCCGACCGCAGGAGGGGGGGAGCGATCCCATCCGCGAGGACCCTGCGACCCTGGCCTTCTGGAGCGCCCTCGGCGGAGGCAGACCACGCCGCCACGCACACGGGGCCACGAGGAGGAAGAGGAGGAGGAGGAGGAAGGGGAGGAGGAGGAGGAGGAGGAGGAGGAGGAGGAGGAGGAGGAGAGGAGGAGGAGGAGGAGGAGGAGGAGGAGGAGGAGAGGAGGGAGCAGGAGGAGGGGGGAGGAGGAGGAGGAGAAGGGGCGGGGCGGGGGAGGAGGAGGAGGAGGAGGAGGAGGAGGAGGAGGAGGAGGAGGAGGAGGAGGAGGAGGAGGAGGAGGGTGGACCGATCCCACTCGTGAGGCCTTCGCGAGGCGCCCTGGCGCATCCAGCGGGGGGGGGAGGGGGGGATCGATCCCGTTAGCATTGGGGGGGGAAGCCCTGGATCGAGTTTCCCCAACGAGGTGGGTTGCAGGTCGGCCAGTTCTCCTCCTCTTTCTCCTCCTCATCGGCATTCTTATCATCATCACCGTCGTTGCCAGCAGCAACATCATGATCAACATCATCATCCTCCTCCTCCTCATCATCATCATCATCACCATCATCATCAGCATCATTATCATCATCATCACCATCATCATCATCATCATCATCATCATCATCATCATCATCAATATCATCATCATCATCATCATCACGCTCACCAACAGCACCACCATCAAAGCCACTATCATCAGCATCACCATCATTGTCACCATCAGTATCACAAACAATATCATTATCATTATCATCAGCTTCATGAGCATCATACGTATCACAATCATCGTCATCAGCATCATCATCATCATCATCATCATCCTCAGCATCATCATCATCATCATCACCACCATCATCATCACCACCATCATCATCATCATCATCATCATCATCATCATCATCATTACTATCATCATCAGCATCATCAGCATCATCATCATCACCATCACCGTCACCGTCACCATCACCATCACCATCACCATCACCATCACCGTCACCATCAACATCACCATCAGCAGCAGCAGCATCATCAGCATCATCATCATCACTATCATCCTCCCGCCTTGGAGGCCCCCGGGCGCGCAGGCTGGATGCCCCGGCAGGGCTGGCGCAGTCCCTCCCCAGGGGCCCCTTTTGCGCCAGGGCCACGCCAGTGGAAACAGGGATCGGTCTAACGTTTGGTGGGGCCTTTCTCTTCTACAGGGGGAGTAGTCAAAGATAGTCAATTAAAGGTAGTCTGGGGATGATTTGCTCAGTGGTTTTGATCATTTTGAATTTATTCCCCAATCAGTGCTTGCACTGAAGGGGTCCTCGCGGATGTTGAAGGATTTGGCGAAAGTGCCTCGCCGTTTTTGGTCGCACGCTGAGTTCTCGGGTTCTCGGTTTCCCGGTTCCGGGTTCCCGGGTTTCCGGGTTCCCGGTTACGGGCCGATTTCGGAGGGCGGCGAGGTTCCCGGGTTCCCAGGTTCCTGGTCGATCTTTTTATCGATCGGTCTCACCATCGATCTCATTACCGACTTGTCGATCGATCTCACCATCGATCTCACAATCGATCTCACTATCATTATCACAAGCGATCTCACTAGAGATCGCATGAACGATGTCGCGATCGATCTCACTATCGATCTCATTCAATCGATTTCACTCTCGGTCTCACGATCGACCTTTCAATCGTCCTATCGATTCCACTATCGATCTCATTATCGATCTCACAATCGATCTCAAGATCCACAGTTTTAATTTTCAAGTCATCCACTGATTGGGGTGTTCTCAGGTGTAAAGGTATTTTTTGGGGGTGCTTTGTATTTTTCGACCACAGACTCCGCCTGCCAGGGGATACGCCCGACCTAAGTCTAACGTTAAGTCGGGCCTGTCCCCCTACAGGGAGAGTTTCGACGAAAATGCACAATACCAAAAACATAGCCAAACCATAATCAAAAAATAGTCTGGGGACTATTTTCTGAGTATTTTTTTTTACCATTCTGGAATATTTTTGGTGTATTTTTGATTTTTCGTCGAAAATCCCCCTGTAGGGGGACAGGCCCGACCTAAGTTCAACGATGCTCCAGGCGGGCCGTCATCGCCGCCGCCGCCGCGGCCGCGGCCGCCGCGCAGCAGCAGGAGGCGCAGGCCGCGCAGGCGAGGTTCTCCGTGTTCGGGTTCGACGGGAGCGGGAAGGGCGCCGTGTCGGACGCCCGGGGGGGCAACGTCAGCCTAGGCTTCCTAGATGGGGTCGGAGTAGATGGGGTCGGAGGATCGCGCTGCATCGCCGATGCATGGACGGTGCGGCTCGATGCGGAGCCCGATGTTCTCCACGCCGACGTCGCCGATGCGCCGCCGACGTCGGCGATGCATCGCCGATACATCGCCGATGCATTAGCGATGCGGCGCGATCCTCCGACCCCATCTACTCGGACCCCATCTAGGAGGCCTCTAGTCGGGGGGGGCAGCTTGTTTCAAGTCGGGCGTGTACCCATACTGGAGGGGCATTCAAGAATAGTACAAACATACCATGGGGACATTGTGTTGACTATGTTTGATATGTTTTGGGGTATGTTTTTCATAACCATCCTGTGGTGTTGGGTCCTCGTTTTGCATAGACAGCGCCCCGCGTCTCCTCCTTCCTTCCTTCCTTCCTCCTCCCCCTCCTCCCTCCTCTCCTCCTCCCCCTCCTCCCTCCTCCCCCTCCTTGCCTTTGCTCTCGGCACACCTCTCACACGTTTCGTAGCCCCATAGGGAGCTCCACCGAAGGCCCCAGTGGGGGTGTTCGCATGCGGTTCCTTCACCCAGGGCAGCGTTTCGTGGCCCCATAGGGAGCTCCACCGAAGGCCCCGGTGGGGGTGTTCGCATGCGGGTCACCCACCCAGGGCAGCGCTTCGTGGCCCCATAGGGAGCTCCACCGAAGGCCCCAGTGGGGATGTTCGCATGCGGGTCCCAGCGCTTCGTGGCCCCAAAGGGAGCTCCACCGAAGGCCCCAGCGGGGGTGTTCGCATGCGGGCCCCCCACCCAGGACAGCGTTTCGTGGCCCCGCAGGGAGCTCCACCGAAGGCCCCAGTGGGGGTGTTCGCATGCGGGCCCCCCCACCCAGGACAGCGTTTCGTGGCCACATAGGGAGCTCCACCGAAGGCCCCAGTGGGGGTGTTCGCATGCGGGCCCCTCTCCCTGGACAACGCTTCGTGGCCCCATAGGGAGCTCCACCGAAGGCCCCAGTTGGGGTGTTCGCATGCGGGTTCCCCACCCTGGACAACGTTTCGTGGCCCCAACGGGAGCTCCACCGAAGGCCCCAGTGGGGGTGTTCGCATGCGGGTCCCCCACCCAGGACAGCGTTTCGTGGCCCCACAGGGAGCCCCACCGAAGGCCCCAATGGCTGCATTCGCATGCGCCCACCGCACCCATGTCGGCACACCCCTCACACGTTTCGGGGCCCCACAAGGAGCTCCACCGAAGGCCACAATGGCTGCGTTCGCATGCGCCCACCGCACCCATTTCAGTACACTCGTCACACGCTTCGTTGCCCCATAGGGAGCTCCACCGCAGGCCACAGTGGCTGCGTTCGCATGCGCCCACCGCACCCATTTCGGCACACCCCTCACACGTTTCGTGGCCCCACAGGGAGCTCCACCGAAGGCCCCAATGGCTGCGTTCGCATGCGCCCACCGCACCCATTCCAGCACACCCCTCACACGTTTCGTGGCGCCACAGGGAACCCCACCGAAGGCCCCAATGTCTGCATTCGCATGCGCCCACCGCACCCATGTCGGCACACCCCTCGCACGTTTCGTGGCCCCACAAGGAGCCCGCCGCAGGCCCCAGTGGCTGCGTTCGCATGCGCCCACCGCACCGGCTTCGGCACCTCTCACACGCTTCGTGGCCCCACAAGGAGCTCCACCGAATGCCCCAGTGGTTGCGTTCACATGCGCCCACCGCACCCATTTCGGCACACCCCTCACACGTTTCGTGGCGCCACAGGGAGCCCCACCGAAGGCTCTGTGGCTGCGTTCGCATGCGCCCACCGCACCCATTTCGGCACACCCCTCACACGTTTCGTGGCCCCACAAGGAGCTCCACGAAGGTCCCAATGGCGTTCGCATGCGCCCACCGCACCCATTTCGGCACACCCCTCACACGTTTCGTGGCCCCACAGGGAGCTCCACCGAAGGCCCCAATGGCTGCTTTCGCATGCGCCCACCGCACCCATTTCGGCACACCCCTCACACGTTTCGTTGCCCCACAGGGAGCTCCACCGAAGGCAGCAATGGCTGCGTTCGCATGCGCCCACTGCACCCATTTCGGCACACCCCTCACAGGTGTCGTGGCCCCACAGGGAGCCCCACCGAAGGCCCCAGTGGCTGTGTTCGGCACACCCCTCACACGTTTCGTGGCCCCACATGGAGCTCCACCGAAGGCCCCAATGGCTGCGTTCGCATGCGCCCACCGCACCCATTTCGGCACACCCCTCACACGTTTCGTGGCCCCACAGGGAGCCCCACCGAAGGCCCCAGTGGCTGTGTTCACATGCGCCCACCGCACCGGCTTCGGCACACCCCTCACACGTATTGCGGCCCACTGGGAACTCCACCGAAGGTCCCTGTGGCTGCGTTCGCTTGCGCCCACAGCACCCATGTCGGTACACCCCTCAAACGTTTTGTGGCCCCACAGGGAGCCCCACCGAAGGTCCCAGTGGCTGCGTTCGCATGCGCCCACCGCACCCAGTTCGTCACCCCCCTCACACGTTTCGTGGCCCCACAAGGAGCTCCACCGAAGGCCCCAGTGGCTGCGTTCCAATGCGCCCACAGCACCAATGTCGGCACACTCATTGCACGTTTCGTGGCCCCACAGGGAGCTCCACCGAAGGCCCCGGCACAGCCCTCAGGCTTTTCGTGGCCCCCTAGGGATCGCTACCGAAGAAGATACTCACAGTTGCGGTACGCACAACTGCATCTGGTTGGGTCCTTCGCCAGGGTAATTCATTTTGGTTGAATGTTATTTCGCCCAAAATTCGCTTGCAGGAGGACATGCCCGACCTAAGGCAACGTCAGGGGGGGTGGTTCTGTTCAGCTTGGCATCGCTCGGACGCGCGCATTTTTCGGTGGCGGGGACCATCGAGGGGCATCTCGGATCATCCCGCGAAGAAATGCACGCACGACTTTGAGACATGCACAGGGAAGGAACGTCCGAGCGATCCCGAGTCAGGGGGGAACAGCCACTTACATTGAAGTCGGGCTTGTCCCCCTCTGGAGAGGTATCAAAAAATAGTCCAAGAGTAGTCGGGGGACGATTTGTTTGTTTTGTGTTATTTCTGAATCTTTTCGACTTTTCCAAAAACAAATCCCTCACAAAATCCGCCTGCACCCACCTACGCCTTTGCATCGCTCGGACGCGTGCATTCCTGGGGGGCGAGGACCACCGAGGGGCCTCTCGGAGCATCCCGCGAGAAGAGATGCGCGCACTACCAGTGGCACCTGCACGGGGAGGGAGCGCCCGAGCGATGGCGAGCCAGCTCGGTCTCGTTTGACCGATCCCCGTCCCCATCTCCATCCCCTCCGAGACCCCCACCGACTTGCCACCAAGTTGGGGATACACCCCTCGACACCCGAAGAGAGCGACCTAGATCCCCATCGAGGGGGGCAAGTCGGCCAGAGGGGCCCAGGCCGCCGGGGACGGGGATCGGTCAAACGATGCTCACCGGGGGGAACGAACACTGACAGAAACCTGAAGGCTCGGAGCTCCGCGCGGATGTCCCGGACCGGCGTCAGACCCTGCTCCCTCCCGAGGGCTCCAAAGGGGGCTTCTGGGGAGGGGGTTTCCCAGGAGGGGTCCCCCATGGGGCTTCGCACCCCGTGTTTTTTTGACGAGGTCTCGAGGTCCTTCGGGGGGCTCTCTGGAGAACCCCTTCCCCGGAAAAAAAACCTTTGGAACCCTCAGTGTTATGACGAGGTTTCGAGGCCCTTGGGGGGCTCTCTGGAAAGCCCCTTCCCAACAAACCCCCTCTGGAACCCTCTGGTCCCCGGCGCTCGGAGCGCGCCAGGGGCGGCGCCGGAGACGCCGCCAGGGGACCACAGCGCCGATGCGAGGAAACCGCGCGGACCTCCGAGATGTTTATGTTGATGTCAGTGCTTGTGTCTTCCCTCAGTTCAGGGAGGGGCATCGACCTCCACTCGCCCATGCAATCATCGCCAATCGGGACCTGATAGCCCAGCCCGGCCAGGAAAAGGGTGCGGGCATTCGCCATCGGGCGCCCGCCGCCGATGTGTCGGCGATGCATCGCCGATTCCGGCTCAGTGCTTCCCCCCCTGAGCTTGTCTTTCCTATCGTTGCCCCACAGGACGCCTACCAGCAAATCGACCCTGACGCGGTCTCGCCCTACTCGCAGTTCAGCAACCCCAAGGATTCTGAGTACACGAACAACAAGGCCCTGCAGGAGAAGCTCTACGAGAGGAACAAGGCCAGGGTGATCGAGTACGTGTCGATGCTCGACAAGGTCCCATCGCTGATTGAGAAGAAGCAGTCCGAGAATCTGAAGAGCCTGCTGACCACCAAGCTCTACAGTCTCCGCGAAAGCATGGAGTACGTGACCACCAAGGGCACGCCGTTCTACCGCAAGAACGACGCGGCGGGCATGAAGGAGGCCGACGTCTTCTTCCAGGACCTGGCCGACCTCGGCGTGGCGGGCAGGGAGAGGAATTAGGGGAACGAAGAATGACATAAACATCAAAACATCCGAGGTCCGCGCGGATTTCTCGGATCGGCGCTGCACCCCCATCCCTGGCGCGCGGAGCGCGCCGGGCGCAGCGCCGGAGGCGCCGCCGGGGGGGGTCCAGCGCGGATCCGAGAAGTCCGCGCGGACCATCCGAGTTGTTGTGTTCGCGTCGTGCTTCGTTCCCCCAGGAACTGGGGCTGGGCGACCGAGTCGTACGAGAAGTCCAAGGGCGATTTCAAGGCGTGGATGAACGTGGTGGGGCTCTGAGCCTCCACGGCAGGGTGACGGCCGCCTCTCTTCGGGCCTCGTGCCGAGGGGGGCTTGGCGCGGGGGGGGGCCTTCCCATCGGATGAGGAAGCAGCATCGTCAACATGCAGTGGGGGCCCACGCCAAGAAACTCCCTGCCTGCCTCCAGGGTGCCCTGGGTTTCTTGGGTTTTGATGGTGATGCTGTAGACAGGGTGACGTCCCCACGCCAAACATCAAGGGACGCCCTGGGGGTCTCAGGGTTGGATTTCTCGTGGAAGGTTTCTTGCAGACTGGCCTCTACTGTAAGGGAGCTACACCATCAACACAACCATTCGGAGGTCCGCGCGCATTTCTTGGATCGGCGTTGGACCCCCACTCTTCCTGGCGCGCGAAGCGCGTCAGTGGCGCCGCCGCGGGCGCCGCCCCAGGGGGTCCATCGCCGACCCAGGAGGCCCGCGCGGACCTCTGGAGGTTTGCGCATATGATGATGATAATGGTGAGGGTGCTAAGGATGCGGATGCTGATGCTGAAGCTGCTGCTGCTGCTGCTTATGATGATGATGATGATGATGATGATGATGATGATGATGAGATGATGATGATGATGATGATGATGATGATGATGATGATGATGATGGTGGTGGTGGTGGTGGTGGTGGTGGTGATGATGATGGTGATGATGATGATGATGATGATGTTGATGCTGATGCTGATGCTGATGCTGATGATGATGATGATATTTGTGGTGATGATGATGCTGATGGTTATGGTGATGGTGATGGTGATGGTGATGGTGGTGATGATGATGATACTGATGCTGATGATGCTGATGATGATGGGGATGATGATGATGATGATGATGATGACGACGACGATGATGATGATGATGATGATGATGATGATGATGATGATGATGGTGATGGTGATGACGATGGTGATGCGGATGATGATGATGACCATGTTGATTTTGATGATGCTGATGATGATTATGATGATGAGGATGATGGTACTGCTGATAACGACGATGATGATGATGATGATGATGATGATGATGATGATGATGATGATGATGATGATGATGATGATGATGCTGATGATGATGATGATGATGATGATGATGATGATGATGATGATGATGATGATGGTGATGCTGATGCCGATCATGATGATGGTGATGATGATGCGGATGAGGGTGCTGGCTGAGGGAGTTGTCGCCGACGACAACAACGACCACGACGACGACAGCGACGACCACGACGACGGCGAGGACGACTTCGACGACGACCGACGACGACGACGACGAGGGCGACGACGGACGACGGACGACGGGGGACGACGACGACGACGACGACGGTAGTCGTAGCAGTTCTAGTAGTAGTCGTCGTAGTAGTCGTAGTAGTAGTAGTCGTAGTAGTCGTAGTAGTCGTGGTAGTTGTAGTCGTCGATGTCGCCGTCGTCGTGGTCCGTCGTCCGTTGTCCGTCTTTGCCCTTTAACGTTTAAGGTTTTTTGCGACCTATCTGTCGTCGTCGTTGTCGTCGGTTGTCGTTGTCGTCCTCGTCGTCGTCGTCGTGGTCGTCGTTGTCGTCGTCGTCGTCGCCCGTCGTCTGTCATCGTCGTCGTGGTGATGCCCAAGGAGGGGTTGGATCTGCAGTTTCCTGCTGCCTGCCGCCCGCCGTTTACGCTCGAGTTTCCGCCGTTCAGGTCCCCTCGCCCTCACCAGACCCTTAACTTAATCGTTAAGGTAAGATGGCCAAGATGACTCCCGGCGGCGCCGCCGTAGGCCCGCCCTCGCCGATTTGCTCGATGGCGCAGAGTACCTTAAGTGGATCGCAGACGATGGGGGGAGGGATCAAACTTCCCCCCCCTGCTCTCCCTCCCCCCATTACTCCCTCCCTCCATCCTCCTTCCAGGAGCTGGCTGGGTCAACGATGTGGAGGGCAAGGGCGAGAAGAAGGCGTGTTTTTTTGACGACAAAGCGATAGTTGTCCGCCTTCCCTCTCCGAGGTAGCAGAAAAGACTATCGGATGCCTTCATATAAGAGAGCGCGAACAACAGCCGCCCCCCACCCCCCCCAAGCCCCCGAATGCATATATATATATATATATATCGGACGACGGGGGACGACGACGACGACGACGACGACGGTAGTCGTAGCAGTTCTAGTAGTAGTCGTCGTAGTAGTCGTAGTAGTAGTAGTAGTCGTAGTAGTCGTAGTAGTCGTGGTAGTTGTAGTCGTCGATGTCGCCGTCGTCGTGGTCCGTCGTCCGTCGTCCGTCTTTGCCCTTTAACGTTTAAGGTTTTTTGCGACCTATCTGTCGTCGTCGTTGTCGTCGGTTGTCGTTGTCGTCCTCGTCGTCGTCGTGGTCGTCGTTGTCGTCGTCGTCGTCGCCCGTCGTCTGTCATCGTCGTCGTGGTGATGCCCGAGGAGGGGTTGGATCTGCAGTTTCCTGCTGCCTGCCGCCCGCCGTTTACGCTCGAGTTTCCGCCGTTCAGGTCCCCTCGCCCTCGCCAGACCCTCAACTTAATCGTTAAGGTAAGATGGCCAAGATGACTCCCGGCGGCGCCGCCGTAGGCCCGCCCTCGCCGATTTGCTCGAGGGCGCAGAGTGCCTGAAGTGGATCGCAGACGATGGGGGGAGGGATCAAACTCCCCCCCCCTGCTCCCCCTCCCCCCATTACTCCCTCCCCCCATCCTCCTTCCAGGAGCTGGCTGGGTCAACGATGTGGAGGGCGAGGGCGAGAAGAAGGCGTGTTTTTTTGACGACAAAGCGATAGTTGTCCGCCTTCCCTCTCCGAGGTAGCAGAAAATACTATCGGATGCCTTCACGTGAGAGAGCGCAAACAACAGCCGCCCCCCACCCCCCCCAAGCCCCCGAATGCATATATATATATATAATATATATATATATATATATATATATATATATATATATATATATATATATATATATATATATAAGCAACGATTCTTGTCCGCCCCCCCTCCCGATCTTGCGAGGGCGACGGGGGGGGGGGGGGCGGGGGGGATTTCGGAGGGGGGGGCGGGGGTGACAAGGAGGAAAGGCGAGATCGCAGGGGGGCTCGAGAGCCCACCCCTCCCTTCCCCCCCCCCCCCCCCCCCCCGCATCTCCCCCCCCATCCGACTGGGAGCTGCCCCGGTCAGCTACGACGCAGATGGCCCCGGCAACGTGTATTCCGACGGTCGGTCGCGGGCCTGTGGCTCAGCTGGCCCGAGCGGCCCCCAGAAGCGGATGCCCGCGAAATGGCCTCTAGGAAGACGACGCGCGCCGCGTGAATTCTCGCGGCGGGCGCTGCTTCGCTTCGGGGGGCCCCGCGTGGCCGCGGGGATGCATTTGGGCAACTCGAGCTTGGACTCCGATTTCAGCTTCAAATTCGGATTGAGTTGGAATTGAAGTTATAAGTAATTAGGGTTGACTGACGACGAAGGGGGATTTGAACTTGAAAGTTCAACTTCGCATCCAACTTAAATTGCGACGTGAACTTCGACCTCGTGAAGTTGAAGTTCAAGTTGAAGTTGTGATCTGAGGTCGCGCGCGCCGCCTTGATGAAGAAGTAGTTGGCCCGGGAACGCGAGGGGCATTCCAGCGCGCCGTGCGCGAACGGCGCGCGGCGTTTGGGCCCTCAGACCACGCGCTACCGCCGGCGCCCTCTTCTTTCTCCCCCCCCGTCGCCTCGTCGTCTTCCTCCTCTCCTTTTCTTTTGTTTTCCCCGTCGCATCCCTCTTTTCCTCCGTGCCGTCAGTCTCCTCCAGAGCCTTGCGGGCCGAATTGGCCCCGTGAGCCCGATGAGCCCAATGGGCCACGCGGGCCCCGTGAGTTCCATGTGCCGCGTGAGCCCTGTGAGCCCCGGCGAGATCGGAGGGGGGGGGGGGGGGGCAGACTCGTTCATTTGTTGAGGTTGTCGTTGTTCGCGCTGCCGCATCGTATCTTTCTTCGCGCTGTATTCTTGCTTTCCCCCATGTCATACTATCGCGCCCTTTGATATCCCATGGGATCGTACATTGCGCGATCGCACTTCGCCGCGGCGCTCCATGGCATCCCCGACGTCGGGGAAGTCGTCGCGGACAGTAATCGTTGTTTGTTGTATGTTGTGTTACTTGGTTGCGTGTTCGTTGTGCGCGTTGCCATATATGTTCGTGAGCCCAATGTGCCTCATGAACCCCATGTGCCTTATGAGCGTTTCCGATTCCTTCCGCGCGCAGCCCCATTCCCCTTCCTCCCCTTCCCCTCTAAGTAGTTTATACCATCGTGCCGTAGTGTATCCTATATAGCTTTGCCGCGTCGTATTTGGATTGTGTTGTTGCCAGGCAACCAGCAGCGCGGCGGACGGGCGGACGATGGCGCTGATGATGCTGATGACGGTGATGATGCGGATGCTGACGATGCTGATGATGTCAGCGAAGATGACGACGCTGATCGTGCTGCTGCTGCTGCTGATGATGACGCTAAGGGCGCAGCCCAGCGTGGGGGAGAATGACGGGGGGGGCAACGAGTGACGCGACGGTTTCTCTGTTGCAGTTTGGGCCCTGGCGCCAAGGCAAAGAGGGTTCCCAGGCAGCGGTGGGCGGCGGCCGCACCCGCGGGGGCGATCGCCCCCAGGAGGCACGCGTCAGTTATTGTCCGTGCGTTTTTTTTGTGCGCTATGCACACACACGCACATATATATATATATATATATATATATATATATAATGTATACATATGTGTGTGTATATATGTATATGTGTGTATATATACGTATATATATATGTATACATGTGTGTGTGTTCCTCTTATATGTTTACAAGCCCTGGCGGGGGGGAAACCCGTCCCCCCCCCGCCACAACCGGATTCCCGGGATCTAGGGTTTTGGGACCCTCGGGACGGGCGTGGAAGCGGCCCCCCGGGCCTCGCAGGGCGTTTTGCCCAGCCTTCCCAGCGCACCTGGGGCGATCAGGGGGGTCATCGGAGACGTCCCAGAGACCCCCAAGACACCACAACAGCGCTCCAAGAGTGACCGA